TCCAGAAAGATAAATACTCATGTCTCCAGAGGATTGCTCCAGAGGGAACTCCAAGCTAGGGTGTGACTGTTTTTAAATCTCTGCGCTGCTGTGGTTTCTAGTATCAGAAGAGACTCTTGTCTCCTGGATCAGGCTTTGGGTAAGCTGGAAAATAATTTGAAACTTGGATTGTGCTTCTTTGAGGATGCTGTCATAGGATGGAGGGGATTACAGTATAGACAGTTGGAAAACTGTAAATGTCTGGACTGAGTGGCAGGAATGAAGGAGGTTAGACATGCCGAGCCCATCCACTGTGTTGTCTATAACTCATATTTAAAGGCAAAAGTCATCTCTGTGACTAAGAGTTGATACTCTCCTTCAGATTCAAACCAACCTGAAAGCACAATGATCAGAGTACCTGAATCTAGGTTTTAGTTTTGGGATTTGGGTCACGTTAACCCATTTCTCTGACCTTTGTGTTCCTCATGCTTGCACTGACAATAATAATAATACTTTCCTCATAAGGTTTTTTGTATCATTAAATGAGATAGGGCATAAAAAGTAAGAATAGCATGTGAGACATATATAAGCACTCCTTAAACATTAGATTTTTTTTATTATTTAAGGGCAAATAGTTTTCAAGTATTTGCCAATAATTCTTTGCATTGTCTAGCTATGACGTCTTGCAAGGTGGTTTCTTGTGATGTTTATGTATTTGTAAAGAGCTTAAAATAACCAAAGTGCTCAGCAAAGATTATTTTTCAATTTCCTTTTCTTTTGACTTTTTAAATATGAATTTTAAAATTTATTTACATTTTTTGACATTTAATCATTGTCATTATAGCATGCCAAATGGATTTTCCCATCATGAATACACCGAATAGTGGATCAAAGATTACCGTACACATTATCATCAACAGATAATTTTCCATTTTGTGTCCCTTAAATGTTTTGCTTCTTTCTTTTTCTTTAGATTTCTTCCCTCTTAGTGTTCCCCATTTCCCACTTTCCTTTTTCTAATATTTTAGTTTCTGCCATAGAGTGCAGACATCTGGCATTTATTAAGTGAGACATACAAAGCCTCTCTGTCATAGTCTGGTTTGCTTTGTTTAGTAGTAAATCGTCCATATTTGTCCACCTTTTATCAAATATCAAGGTCTCTTTTTTTAAATTTTTATGGCTGAGTAGGATTCTGTAGTGTATATTCACTACACTTTTCAATTCATTCATCTATTCATGGACATTTGGGTTGGTTCTGTGTCTGAGCAATTTCAAATAATGCCATAATAAACATGAGTGTGCCAGTGTTTTTTGGACTGAGTGTGTTCCTGTCCTTTGGGTGGATACCCAGGAGTGGAATTTCTGGTTTATATAGTAGTCCTACTTGTAGGTTTTTGAGAAATCGCCACATTGTTCTCTACAGTGGCTATAGTAGTTTACATTCCCACCAATAGTGTAGGAGACTAAATCTTCCATATTCATCCACTTTCTATCAAATTCCAGGATCTTTTTTCTTAATGAATGAGTAATATACCATACAGTATATATGTCACACTTTTTCAATCCATTCATCTGTTTGTGGACATTTGGGTTGGTTCTATGTCTTAGCAATTGTGAATAATGCTGCAATAAACACAGATGCACAAACACTTTTCCAATGGATCATTTTCATATCCTTTGGGTAGATATCCAGGAGTGGAATTCCTCTGTCATACAGTAATTGTATTTGTAGATCTTTGAGGAACCTCCATATTGTTCTTCAAAGTGGCTGGACTAATTTACATTCACACCAACAGCGTAGGAGAATTCCCTTTTCACCACAGTCTCTCCAGCACTTAACATTTTTTGCTTTTAAAATCTAAGTCACTCTGACCGGGGTTAAGTGGTATCTCATTGTGGTTTTGATTTGTATCTCCCTCTTGATGAAGGATGTTGAGCATTTTTTTCATACGCTCTTTGGATGTCCATATGTTTTCCTTAGAGAGTTGTTTGTTCAGTTTATTTTCCCATCTTTTAATTGGGTTGATCATTTTTTGTGGGGAAAAAGTGCTTGAGCTGCCTATGTATTCTGGCTATCAGTCCTCATCTGAGACACAGTTTACAAAAATATTCTCCCATTCTGAGGGTTGTCAAGTCACACTAATTACTGTGTCTTTTGCTGTGCAGAAACTCTTTAATCTGATGTAATTCCAGTTCTCTATGATCTCAACAATAGAGAAGTATTTACCATTCTTTAGGTTTTTAATCTGAGCCATTGTGACTTGGGTTAGGTGGTATCTCATTGTGGTTTTGATGTGCATCTCCCTTATGATAAGTGATGTTGAACATCTGTTTTCATATGCCTTTTGACTGTTTGCATCTTCCTTAGAGAGTTGTTTTCTCAGATCATTTGCCTATCTTTTAATTGAGTTGATTATTTTCTGGGGGTTGGGGGTAAGCTGTTTACATTCCCTGTACATTCTTGTTATCAGTATCTTATCTGAGGCATCAATTTTCTTCTTTTTAATTAAAATTAAAATATCACTTCTACCTGTAGCCTTGTGAATTAAGTGGAGAGGGGGATATGTTATTCTATCAAAGGCTGATTAGTAAAATAGGATCCTTATAAATTTTTGCTCTCCCTTCCTAAATATCAGCTCAAGGCTAATAACATACATTTCTTCCCCAAGAAAACACCAGTCCAAGGCTCCCATTGGAGATAAATCCAAAGTGTTTAGCCCTTTGCTTTAGCTTGTAGCATCAATACTTTAAGTGTAGTATATACATATCAGTCCCTCTGAGGGAAGCCCTTCTCTGGCTTCCCTAACTACCTGGGTGGAAAAAAGTATTACTTATCATTCCATAGTAGAGAGAAGGGAGGACTCTCAATGCCCACTTCTTTTCCAATTCCACTCCCACATACTCTTCTGGAACTGTATAAATTCTAATCCTTTTGCTGTGAGGAAAATACAGTCTATCACTGTAATTGAGAGAGATAAAGTGAAGCTCCAGCTGAGGGGCTAACTAGACACAGTGACCACTGTAAGGCTTACTTTGCTCAACTTCAGGCACAAAGTACATTGTTCCTTTTTTCTTCCTTTCTTCTTCTTCTTCTTCTTTTTTTTTGCAAAGGTTTTTGCTATAGGGCACGTGTACTTGCCAGAAAGACAGAGAGAGACAGAGACAGAAAGCGAAAAGTCATCCCCTAAGGGGGATGGCCATGCCTCAATCCCTTCTCCCTCCATTCTCCTCTTGAGATTTTGGGCATGCACGCACATGTGCCCAGTGTGAGTTTAAGCCACTGGGTCTGGGACTCAAGCTGTAGTTGATTTATTTATTATGGGTAGGTAGATACATAAGTTTAGAAGCATGTAAACAGATTTAATTGCTATAAATACTTTGAGAAGTATTTTTATAGTCAATCGAACACTATAGAAATTATAGGTATTGGATGAAGTTTGATTGTAGACTTTATGTAGTATTTATTATTTTTATGTACTTACCTAAGTGCCCTATCAAGATTCCTAATAACTATTGTTTTCATTTTTATTTTAAATAGATAAAAAAGAAGTATAGAGAATATTAAGTAACTCATTCAAGACCATAAAACCAAGATTCAAATCTAGTTGTTTTCTCTCCCAAGTCTTCAGTTTCAAAAATAGCTTCCCTTTCAAATTCTAAGAAAAGATAGATATAAATAAGTAGAGATAGAGGTTATGCAGTATATAAGTGAGAGATCCTAAAATCCAATTGCATCTAAGTTTTGTCAAGAGGTCAGCTAGAATATTGGCATCCTTTAAGTCTAGAGTCTGAAGCCCCAGTTTTTCAAGTTTCAATGAGCTTCTTGCAGTGATGGAAATTAATTATATCTGTGCTATCCTATACTATTCAAGAAAAATATTAAAGAGATAGTAGCATGTGCAACTGAACATGGCTACTGAATACTTGAAATATGGTTTGTTCAATTAAAGTATTAAAATTTGAGTTTATGTTAATTAACTTAAATTTAAATAGACACAAGTGTCTAGTGGCTACTCTGTTGGACAATGCAGCATAACACTGTTGATTCTCAAGAAACTTCTAGTAACTCTTCCCTGTTTCCATTCATTACTGAGCACCAAGAGCTGTCACCTCTTTGGTTTCCTGAAGCTGGAAAGATTCTTTACTTTTAAAGACTCATGTGATTATAGTTGACCTACCTGGATTATTAAAGGTATCTAGACAATCTACCTCACAGTCTTTAACTTTAACTGTATCTACAAATTCTATTTTGGCATATAAAGTAACATAGTCATAGGTTTAAAAGATTCAGACATGTACAACCTTGGAGTCATTATTCTGCCTACCATCATGGATCTTTCTGAAGTTCTTTGTGAGCCAAAGTGATTTCTTCCTCCATTTGCTGCAAGCTCAGGCTCCTTTAGTACCCATGAAACTTAAGAATACAGAGAATCAGAGTTTTAATTACTTTAAAGAGTATCTTTCTTCTCTATCTCATATAATATAGGTAGAAAAATGAGTCTCAAAAATGTAAGGATTATGTCTAGATCACCATTTAAGATCCTAATCAAGATACACACACATACACACATGCACACACACACACATTTGCATATCTGGGTTTATGAGTAATCCTTATATTAAAGATATTAAGCTTGTGCTTGATAATACTTCCGTTATAGTTCTTGATGTAAGCATACATTACCCAAATAAATGTACAATGTTATTAGTACAATATTATGCTAAACAGCAAAGTCTTTGATGTTTCCAAATGATTTATAACCCTATTCTATTCAGGTATTAGTTGAAGTTGCTATTATTTTTCTTTCTCCTAAGTGTTTTATTATTCAATGGTCAGGGATAAAATTATTGTCTTACAAAACAGTCCTTTCAGATTTATATTAGACCTTGAGGAGTGTTAGAATAATATTGAAGCCACTTTCTCTAAGACTAACCAACTTAATACTTACTGCCACTAATTCTTGTTGAAGGCTGTTTGACTTAACTATTTTTTCTCTTTTGCCTAGTTAAACTTTGCTGCTATGTCATCATTCAACCAAACTACTGAAAACCACCAGACCTTCTTCACCCTGACTGGGATTCCATTTAGAACTACTTCTGGATGGCTTTGCCCCTCTGTCTTCTTTACAGCACCACATTCTTGGGCAATTTCACCATCCTTTATGTCATCAAAGTCGAGCAAAGTCTCCATGAACCCATGTACTATTTTTTGGCCATGTTAGCTGCCACTGACCTCAGCCTCTCATTGTCTTCCATGCCCACCATGATCAGTGTTCACTGGTTTAATTGGCGCTCAGTAACGTTGGATGCCTGCATAACACAGATGTTCTTTATTCACACCTTTGGGGGGGTGGAATCAGGTGTTCTGGTGGCCATGGCCTTTGATCGCTTTGTGGCCATCTGCTTCCCTTTACACTATGCTACCATTCTCACTCATGGTGTCATTGGCAAGATTGGAGCAGCGGTACTGCTGCGGAGTGTGGGAGCTGTGCTCCCTGTGCCTTTCCTCATCAAAAGACTACCTTTCTGCCACTCCAACGTTCTTTCCCATGCATACTGCCTTCACCAGGATGCCATGAGGCTTGCCTGTGCTGACACCCGTATCAATAGCATCTATGGCCTGCTAGCTGTGATCTTCATCATTGTACTAGATGCTTTTATCCTTTTGGTCTCTTACATACTAATCCTCCAGGCAGTATTGAGCATTGCATCCCAGGAAGAGAGGATCAAGGCTCTAAATACTTGCCTTTCTCATATCTGTGCTGTACTGCTTTTCTATGTACCTCTCATTGGCATGACCCTGATTCATCGTTATGGGAAACATTTATCACCAGTAATACACACATTCATGGCCAATATCTACCTACTACTCCCTCCTGTGCTCAATCCCATTGTGTACAGTGTTAGGACCAAGCAGATCCGACAGCGGATTGCCCAGGTGCTCTGTGGGGGAAGAGGCAGGATTGGCCCTTGATAGCATCTGCTATTTCTTTCTTTCTTTTCTTTTCTTTTCTTTCTTTCTTTCTTTCTTTCTTTCTTTCTTTCTTTCTTTCTTTCTTTCTTTCTTTCTTTCTTTCTTTCTTTCT